GTTTCTTGCTTCTCCATGTAACAAGATTACCTCCTACAAAAGTGAAGTAACCAGAAGTAGATCGTCTATCATCTATAGCTCAAGCCTAGTCAGCATCAATATATGCATCTATGTTTTGATAACCAGCATTTTTAGTGAACAAAATTCCTTTTCCAGGAGCAAATTTCAAATACCTCAAAATGCGCATAACTGCATTCATATGTTGCTCTCTAGGATCATGCATAAACTGGCTAACAATGCTCAATGCACAAGCCAGATCCGGTCTCATGTGTGCTAAGTATATTAATCTCCCTACAAGTCTTTGGTATCTTCCTTTATTAGTAGGTACTTGGTTGGACTCAACACATAACTTCAGTCCTTCTTCCACTGGTGTCTCAGCTGGTTGAAATGCTGTCATGCCAGTCTCTTGTAATAGATCTAAGGCATATTTTCTTTGAGATAGAAAGATTCCTTTATTAGATCGAGATACTTCGATCCCAAGAAAATATCTCAAAGGACCTAGATCTTTCATTTCAAATTCTCTGGACAAGTATTTCTTGAGAGCCTTCATTTCTTTAGGATCATTCCCTGTAACCACCATGTCATCTACATATTCAATGAGTGTAGTGAACTTACCCTGTTGTTTCTTCAGAAATAACGTGTGGTCTGAATTGCTCTGACAATAGCCAAATGCTATCATAGACTTTATGAATCTTCCAAACCATGCTCTTGGAGATTATTTCAACCCATATAATGATTTCTTTAACCTGCAGACCTTCCGACTATGCTTTTCGGAGATCCATGTAGACTTCTTCAGATAATTCACCATGCAAAAAGGCATTCTTCACATCGAATTGTTGCAATAGCCAATCCAACTTCGCAGCTAAAGACAACAAGACCCGAACTATGTTGATTTTGGCTACAGGTGCGAACGTCTCTGTGTAATCGATTCTATAGGTTTGGGTGTAACCTTTCGCCACCAATCTTACTTTAAAGCGTTCAACTGTGACATCGGCTTTATACTTCACAGTGTAAATCCATCGACATCCAACTGGTTTCTTTCCTGGTGGAGGATCAATGAGATCCCAAGTTTTTCATCTCCTCGTTCATAGTTGCTTTCCACCGATGGTCAGTTAAGGCTTCTTGCACATTGTTAGGAATAGATACAGTAGATAATTGATTTACAAATGACAAATTTGATGTTGACAAACGATGGTTCAACACATAATTGCCCATGGGATATTTAACTTTACTAGAAAGTTCGGGTTCATATGTGGGTTTAGGAATACCTCTAGTATGACACGGTGGTAATTGTTTTCTGAGTGGCTCAGGCACTAAATCAGGAACATCCTCAGCAGGTGATTGGTTTGATAAATCAGTTGCGAGGGATCCGAACTCAGACGATGATGGGGTTGGCGCCATACTTTCCATTTCTGGGCGTTCATCACCACTTTGATCCAAACTTACCACTTGAATCCAATTCGCCCGATTCCTGATTGGTTGGTCCAACTTGTGAGTCATCAACACTAGAATTGCCGTCCTTAAAAGTGTGATAATCATAATCTAGAGTCTGAATTTCATTCCGATACTCCCCCTGAAGTTCAGACGCAGAGGAAAAATACATCGAGTCTTCATGGAAGACAACATCCATTGTGATAAACATTCGTCGAGTGGGAGGGTGATAACAGCGATACCCCTTTTGATGAGTAGTATATCCGAGAAAAACACATCGCAATACTCGAGGAGTTAGCTTGTTGCGTTGATGCTTATGGAGGTGTACAAATGTTACACAACCAAAGACATGAGGAGGTAGATTGGCGACAGTTGGGGCAACAACTGCGTCAGTGAGAGCCTACAATGGTATCCGGAAGGCAATAGAGCTGGAAGGTTCTCGATTGATGAGATATGATGCAGAGGTAAGGGCTTTTTTCCAATACGATAATGGCATATGCGCTCTATCAATGAAGCACAAATAACCTCCAACAAGTGTCGATTTTTTCGCTTGGCAACCCCGTTCTGCTGGGGTGTATTGGAACAAGTGGCTTGATGAATAATTCAATGTGCTTCCAAATACTGCTGAAGGTCAAAACTCTGATATTCTCCATCATTGTCACTACGAGAACCTGAACATGTGCATTGTATTGAGTTTTAACCATTTTATGAAACTTCTGAAACAATAAGTTCACTTCACCTTTGGACTTCATCAAACACAACCAGGTCATCTTGGTACAGTCATCAATAAAAGTAACAAACCAATGAGATCCACCTAAAGTAGTGACTTTGGATGAACCCCAAACATCAAAATGTGTAATCATAAAAGGAAGTGGACTTTTATGCAAACATAATGGATACGAAACACTATGGCTCTTTGCTAGTTCACAAACATCACAGCGGAAATTAGAAACATCACATTTTTCAAACAAACTAGGAAATAATTTTTTCAGATAACCAAAGGAAGCATGCCCGAGACGTCGATGCCACAGCCAGATTTCAGATTTTTTTCTCTCCCCCTCAGAACCATCCACTGTCAAGGCTTGTCGTAGCTTGTCAGAACTTTTGGACATCAAGTCCAAGTAATACAGTTTCCCTCGCCGAATAACACAGCCAATCGTCTGCTTTGTTTGGATGTCCTTAAACACACAAAAATCAGGCCAAAAAATGACAACACAAGATAAAGCTGTGGTTATTTGGGAAACTGACAAAAGATTAGAATCTAAAGAGGGAACAACTAAAACAGAATCTAAATGCAGATGATCAATGAGTGTCAAAGATCCTTCCCCAATAACTGGGGTTGAAGTCCCATTGACAGTAGAAACAAATTTGTGTAAGGATGAAGTAAGAGGTGAGACATGTCATATGATCTGTGGCATCAGAATCAATTATCCATGCACTATTAGCAACATGTGTAGAAATATTGAAATTCTTACCACCAATATCTGTTGTCTTAACAACTGCTGCATTGGAGGTCTTTGTTGAATTCTTCTTCCAATGGCGAAGATCCCACCATTTCGGATATCCCACAAGTTTGAAACAGTGACTTTTGGTATGACCAGTCTGGTTGCAATAAGTGCATTTGTAGGTAGACTTGTCTACTCCAGATGATTTAATATTGTTTCCACGCTTCTTTTTTTTTATTTTTTATTTTTTTTTTTTTTTGGGAACTGGTTTATCACAGAACCAGTTTTCAAATAAGGTTACAAAAAAACTGGTTTAGTTTTGAACTAATCCAGAATTGGAATAGGAGTACACTTGTGGCCAAACAGAGGGTTTTGAATTTTTTTTTTTTTTTTTTTTTTTGAGATATTATATATATTTATAATATATATATATAACAAAATAAATCCAAGTAGCCCAATTAGTCTCTATTAAGCAACAGAGAAACAACTGAACTGATGAAAGCAGCTGGAGGTTCTCCTCCTTGTGCGACGGCGACGATGGATCCGGCGGCGATGGCGGCTTGTTCGGTTTGGCAGAGCGGCCGGCATTTGGATGATGGAGACAGCAGTGGCTGTAGGTTCTCCTCCTTGTGCGACGGCGACGATGGGTCCGGCGGCGATGATTGAGACGGCAGTGGAGAGGCGGCTTGTTCAGCTGAGATGGATACGACGACGCTATGGACAGCGGTTCGGCAGTCAATGAAGAAGATCCAGCGATGCGATACGATACAGATCCGTCGAGGTGCAGCGGTTTGGTTAGCTTCTGATGGAGAATGGTTAAGAATTTCTGGGTTTGTGAATTTGATGGTTGAGAATTTCTGGGTTTGTGAATTTATGTGTATATGGATATGAGATGCTTGTATATGGATATGAGAACTATTGATGTATCGGTTGTGTATGGGTCTATGTATGGGTGTGTGTATTTCGAAGCTAAAAAAAAAAAAATTCAAAAAATACGTTTCAACCTGGCTTTGATACCACCTTGAAATTCAGAGAAAAAATGTGAGAATTCAAAATTCTATTCTATATTATTCACGGTATTACATTCAATTTATAGAATAATATCTAGTTAAAATAGGTAACTAAATATACAAAAATCGAGAAATTAATTACCTACCAATTAGTCCTAAATTAATGAGAAAATAATTCAATCCTACAGCTATACAATAGATAAAATCTCAACACTGGTTTATATCATTGTCATTGTAAAAAGGAGGATCATCAAAGAATATTTCCAACCTACCGGCTTTTGATTATTGTCATCATACAATGGCGCAGGGAACCGACAATAAGGAAATTGCAATGAAATAGTCATTTAGGATAGGAAAATAAGGAGTCGTGACTAACAAGTCAATTGCTTAACGATATCAGTCTCTTACTTTTTAAAAAGAAGTTAAAGGTTCAAATCTCGGAAAAGACAAATGTGTGAATACTAACTTACAAATAATAATAATAAGGAGCCCTCTTCTTTGGGAGGGCTGGTGCTACCACGGGAGAGAGGAGGGCATTTTGAGTTTTTTATAAAAATATTTGGTTAAAATTGGTGATTAGAGGACAATTTGCTCATAAAAGGTATAATATAGGGTGTTATACACCTATAGTAGGGGTTTTTTTTTTTGCACCTTTTGCATATATGGAGAGTGTTTTTTGCACTTAATTCAAAAATATATATATATATATATATTTCAAAAAAATATTTTATATCAAAACAAACAGAACTTAAGTGTGATTCAGAGTTATTTTTGTCATATAATTTGAAAATAAAGGTGGAGCGCCTAAAGACTCTTTCGGAGTATTATTATCAATACGAATTCAAACCATAGTTTAATTATCGGATTCGAATCAACAAAGTAATTGACCAGTGTAGTTGAGATGTCACCTGTCTCTGTCATTTATGTGCTTCTAATAGTATCCCAATTTGTTTTATCAATAAGATTGACTGAAAATTAATAATTTCTTCCACCATTATGGGAAATGCTCTGTAATTCACAGCCAAGCTTCCTATTCCTAGGCCGCAAATATTGGCTGTTCAGAAAGAATAAAACAAATCCACACCGCATAGGACTTTATCAGATGCTAAAAATATTATTGATCAAGAAACCAAATTTCAATTCCCAAATATTGGTAATGTTTAACTAGTCTGAAATTTGGACAAGAGCACCTCATCCACCATCTTATCATAAAAGTTGTTGTAAGATGACCCACCTGTACAAGTGGTCTCTTCAGCACTCTTCTTCCACTCCATGACTCTTCTCTTCATCTCTTTCCCCTTCTCTCCAACCATCAACTCCCTCACAAGTCTCTTCACTTCATCCCTGTGAACATCAGTAATCTCCATGCCAATCCCCCAATGGTTGCAACAGAACCAACAGTTGGTCGGCTGCTCCGCGAAAGCCGGCCAACATATGGTAGGCACGCCACCGGAAATGGTTTCAAGAATTGAATTCCACCCACAATGTGTCAAGTACCCTCCGATCGACGGGTGGGTAAGGATCTGCTCCTGAGGGCACCAGCTTGACAGGAAACCCTTTTCTTTGGTCAACTCCTCGAACTCCGGTGGAAGAACGGCCGAGTCACCGAGGACTAGATCAGGCCTAATGGCCCATAAGAAGTTCTGCTTGCTATTGGCAAGTCCCCAAGCGAATTCAATAAGCTGCTGCGATGTCATTCGAGCCACACTGCCAAAATTCACGTAGATCACCGAATTGGGCTGTTTTGAATCAAGCCATTCGAGACACCCAGAGTCTTCTTTCAGTAGATTCAGTCCAATGGATTTGAGTTCGTCGTTTTCTGGGAGTTGTTTCTTCTCTAGGAGGTGAAGAGGACCGATTGGGTATATAGGAGGAAACATCGGTGCAAGTGCGTCCAAACAATCTCGTTCCAAGACGTCGATTGTATTCAAAATTATAGCAGAACACTTGTGAGATCTCTCAGCTTCATTGATGGCGAAGTTTAGCATGACATCATTAGGGTTCGTGGTTCGAATAAATGTCGGAAGCTCCTTCAAACGTATACCCTTCATGCCTGGTATCCAATCTATCAGTGTGTCTAAGTACCCATTTGTCAAATAACTCTCATCTGCAATACATCAAAGTAAGCAGTTTGATCAAAACCAAATGCATTACCAATTGAAATGCAAAAACTGCAAATGCCCACCAAAAAGAAATTTTCAAATTTGAGGAAACAAACCCCCATAGGAAGTAAAAAAATATATATATATATGAAGTAGCTCAATGTCCGATACTCATGCCATTGCAAAGTTTGAAAAGGATTACATGCATGCTATCTTACCTGTATGAAGTTGGAGTTTTCTATTTCAAAACCAAACCATGAACTCGGGACTAAAATGGAGCAACCTTATTGAGCCCGCCTTCTAATACCCCATACAAAGTATATTAAAATTAAGAATTGGATGGCACAGTAAGTAGATTAAAATTAATAACTGGGGCAAAAAATTGATTGAGTGTACTTAACACCCTTATACTAATATTCTTACAATGCATTATATATTAATAAGCCCCCTTAGGTTTACAAAGCGTTCCAATGAGGACCTCACATTTCAAACTCATGCAAAGACGTAAATACCCTTATAGCAACATCTCTTCTCTTATTTTAAATAAATAAAAAAATCCAAATGTATAATGACCAAAGTGAGGAATCTTGTGGTCCTCTCCCTGAATTTGCTTCCACTCTTGCTGTTACTTCATGGCCACAAGGAATAATTTTATATATATATATATATGTTTTAATTTTCCTTTCATTTTAATTTTCTGGTAAACCTGTTGTTTCACTCTTTAAGTTGCTGATCAAATTAGCGATCACTTTCTATTAGTTGTTTCGAGATGTCTGGTGTGATATTTTGAAACAACCAAATAAGTTAAAAAATTGTGCTTATGTATGGCTTCAATCACTTTATTTAGAGCATCCCCATCGCACACAATTTGGAATAATATGCAACTTTGTAACAAATGAGTTAGTTTGTTGTGCACATTATACACTTGTTGGCCTCACTAATTTTTTTACACTTAATAATTTGTATAACTTAGTAGAGCCTGATATTGTCTGAAAGTGGGCCTGGTGTTTGATTAATAATTTTAAATGGAGGAGTGATTGTGTGCGGTAGTGTGTAAAATAGTTATTCTATTGTATTGTATATGTTATGTATTTATTTAAGTTTTATTATATATGTGTGATTAATTGTAATGTCTAATATTTTTTTAACACCTTCAAAAAGTATTAATATATAATTTTTTTCTGAATTATATTATTTTATTTTATGTGTACGAATCTGTGTAATGCAATTTTTATTTATATATGTAATATCATTGTTTTTAAAAAAAATTTTAAATTTCAAAACATATAATCGAATCACAGAATTATAGCCATTATCACTATAATTGTTGAGAATAGTTGCAAAAAACAAACAAACAATTGAAAAAGAAAATATTTATTTTTTAATAAATAAAATTTTAAAAATAATAAAGTGTAGAATGCTAAAAATAGTGCATAATAGCAACTTAAAATCTCTAAAATAAACGTAGATCCACATAAATACAATTGTTGACGTGCCTTGCACCTTCTTCTTTTTTAAGTGTAGAATTAAGTGTGGAGTGTGCATTGGGATACTCTTAGGTTATGTTTGGATTGAGAGATTTGGAGGGATAGTAAAAAAAAAAAAATGAAATGATAATGTAAATTGTATTTGGGTAGGTTAAAATGCGAGAAAAGAAAAGATAGGAAGAGATACGAAAAGAAAAGATAGTGTTTAAGTAGTATTTTCATAATTCTAAAACTACCCTCAACGATTAAAAAGTATAAATTATTATTTGACTTATATCCCATCTATTTTAAAGGACATTATAGTAATTTAATTGTTATCATTTCTATTTTTTATAACCATTTATCATATTTTCTATTTATCCAAACATAAATATAAATTATTGTTATTATTTTCTTCTATTTTTTTTCCCTCGTAACTAATACTATCTTCTTCTTCTTTTTTTTTCTTTTCTCTCCTACTTATCTAAAAGCTCCCTTAGTAATATTCAAGTATGATAGATTGACTTCAAACCTTTAAGATGATTTTTTTTTTTTTTTTTTTAATGTATAATATCACTCAATAGTCAATAGTTTGACTGTTAATTGCATTGAATATAGTAGTGTGTTTCTCGGCAATTAATTTCAAATAAACTATCACATCTAATCTTCAAATTGTTAAAAGGCCAAATATATATATATATATATATATATATAAAATAAATCTGCAACGGACAAATATAATATAATAAATCAGCAAGAATATTAAAAGTATAAAAACTAAATAATATTTTTATGTCACATGTCACAGAAAACTAGTTTAAAGAGCTGGCAAATTTTTTATTTTTATTCCTCTCCTAATGTCGAAGATAAAAAAAAAAACTGTGTAAACTGTATGATCTATGCCCAAAAAATAAAAATAAAAAAATAGATTAAGATCTGATTTTGGGCAAAAACAGAGAGATATTGAGGTTAACAAAAATACCTTTGAAGGGTGTAAAACCCTTTTCGACCAATTGGCGATAGTAGGCGTAGCTCAAGAACCCACAAGCACTGGTGGTCCAGAACAGAACATTCGGAATACCCAGTTCCTCAGCGACCTCGAGGGTGAAGCTCATGACTCCGTCGGAAACCACACAGGTCACCGGAGGGACGTCGTCCGACGAGTTGAGTTTTCCGAGCAGGTCCCTGAAGGGAGCGCCGCAGTTCTTGGGCATGGACTCGCAGAGCTGCCACGCGCCTTGGGTGACGTCTCCGTCGACGGGCGGGAGGCCGTCGGGAATGGCGGCGAATCGGAACGACGGGAGGCCGTCGAGGGCGGTGGGTCCACGCGAACGGAGGAGGCGTCGCTGGTTGTACTCGGTGTTGACGAAGGTGACGTGGAAGCCTCTGTAGTAGAGGAGCTTGGCGACCTTGTACATGGGGAATACGTGACCCTGTGCTGGGTTGGGCATGCACACCGCGTGAGGTTTAGGCTTCTGTTCTCCTGCCATGGCGTTCTCTTCTCACTCTCTCTCTCTAACGTTCTCTCTCTACGCTGACAAACGGTGGTTGACCCCCCCTCTCAATCTCTAGAGCATTACTTAATTTATAGAAGAATGAAATAGCAATCAGATTGACGTAAATGCTTACGTAGCGGCTTCAGCCGATTTTCGTACAGCACTAGTAGTCGGCTAACGTTTTAGATCCTCTCATTTGGCGGGAAAAACACATCCCTAGGTGAGATCAGGGATGCAACTTGGATAGGTTGGAGTTTTTTAAAAAAGGATATTTTTTTTTTAATAGAGTAGTAAAAAATAATTTTATTAGGCATTTTAAAGACAATTTTACCCATATATAAAACTACATCGTTTCAGATTGGTTTCAATAAAGCAAATGACATGGAGGGGTGTAATCACAACATCCACTAAAAATTTGACAACACACACAAACTTATCACCAATAGTGTGACATGGAGGGTTGTAATCTCAGTATCCATTACAAATTCGACAACACACCAACCTTATCATCAATACCCAATCAGAATGTGACGTGTGTGTAAAAAAATACACACACACACTACTATATTCTTTCTTCTTCAAAGATCTCCACCATCGACGGACGGCCAACACCACCCTCTTTCTCTCCACCGACATCTTAGCCTTCAATCCAGTGACAGATTTGGTGAGGAAAATCCCTCCTCATTCTTCATCTTTCATCTCCCTCGATCAGTCACAGGCTCACAACTTGGGTAAGAAATCTATATATATAACCACCATGAACCAGCGATGAGGACGAGGTGTTGAGCATTGTTCAAGATTTCTTGATCTCTCCTCCCTCTGTAATTTTCGTTACTTACAAACTCTTGGCATAACCAATGGAAAGCAAACCCAATCAAAAGCAACTCAATCGGAAAACCCCATAAATATTTTGTGACCCATCATTAAGCATACCCATCACAAAATTCTCCACCCATCACCAAATCAATATAACAAAACTTTAATTGAAACCACTAGCCCATCATTCGGTGAGTCTTTCGCAGTCGTCGCTACCGAACTGATTTTCGCAGTCGTCATTAGAATAGGGGAATGTTTGGTTGGGATTTAATGGTAATACGAGGGGCATTATCGTCTTTTAGCTTCATTAAGGGTTCTATGGTCATTTACAAATTTTTGGTTGTCACGTAGCTTTTTAACAGTTAAAAATTGAATTGGTCCATCGGACTGCGTGAGGGTTATATGCAACTTGTATAGATCAGGTTAATTGCAATTGAATTGGTTAGTTCGTGAAGGTTATAGGGAGTTTTCTGCCAGCTAATTGACAAATACTTCAAAGAGGGTTTTTTGTAATTTATTCTAATTATTTATACTCTCAAATAATAAATTTATTGGGCAACATCATAGCAAATTACCTTTTACTAGTATCAGACACATAAAATTTTATTGTTAGGTTTACGTTAGGATTGATCAAAAACTTTTCATTTATATCATTCACTATTTCTCAAATAGAAGAAAATGTATTAAAATATAGTTGGGCATGAATGATGCTGGGCTAAGAGGATACATTTGGTATCAGCATATAATATTGAACAAAAGACAATAGCACGATAGATCAGACCGTGACAATTGCAATTAATGCTTCGTCAAACACAGTGATGAATTGGACACTTTTTTTTATATATTAAAAAAAGGAAGGAAAAAGCGCAAAAAAACACCCCTTGAAGTATTAGATTTTGCAACTAACCCCTTGAACTACATAAAATCCCCTCGAACTAACAAATTGTTACATTTAACCCCCTTGAACTAACAATAGGTTGCCGGAAAAACAAAAAGACTACATTACCCTTAATTAATTAATCTCTCTTTATTTTGGGCCTCATTTTTCTGTAAAGAGAGAGAGGGGGAGAGAGAGAGAGAGAGAGCCGATGCCCCATCGTCGTTCAAAGCTGCAATTTGGAGCAACAAAAGAGAGAGATTTTGGAGCAACAAAAGAAAAACAAAGCTGCCTCCTTCAAGAGAAGAGGATGATTCGGCTTTACAAGTGGCTATTTGTCGCTTCTCCCATCGCCGTCGAAAACGGGTTGTGTGAACGGCGATTGGGTTGTGCGCTTGGGCTGTCGATTGGCGATTGACGACGCCGGCAATTAGGTTGCGCGATTGACAATGACGATGATGGGTGCTAACGGCGGTGCGTGGAGGATGGCATGGGGGAAAGCTTGGCAATGGCGGCGGCTGTGGTTGTTGGGGAGAGGCGGCGGGGACTGTTGTTAGCGTCGGTGTGATGGTGGTGGCTGTGGATGAGAAGCGGCGGCGGCATGGGTATATTGGGTTGCTCTGTTTTTTCTTGAAACATAGAGAGAAAGAAATGACAGATCTGTTGAAGAAGCCCTAGCAGAACTTCACGGCGGTCTCGAAAGTCTCAAAGCTTCTACGTCTCTGTCTTTTCCGGCCACCTTCCACGGCGGCAGTTGTGTCATACGGTGGTCGCAGGTGTCACAAAGGGTGGCTTCGTCAGCGTAGCAAAAGACAGAGGCTTCATTTCTGTTACAGAGAGGGGCTTGCGGAGGTGCTTGGCAGGATGGAACAGTGGTGCTTGAGGCGGAGCAATTGGGTCTCAATCTGAACTTAAATTCGGCCGCGAGGGTGAAGACGGAAAGGGGGTGTGTCGCCGGCGAAGTTCTGGCCTTGTTGTAATACACATTCACTCTCTCCAGTTGGAATTTCGTGCTCTGTACACACCACCTCCCAGAACTTGGCTCAGCGACGGCGACGGGCTAAAGTGGCAGCAGCGGTGATGGTTCTCCAGATTTTTTTTTTTTTTTTTTGGATGTAAAAAATACTCAAGCATGTGTCTCAAAATTATCCGTTCAACCAAAGCCAAGCTAATTTGGCTCTCCAGTTGCTATTATTTATTTATTTGGCTTGGCTTTGTAATTAATTGGTGGCGATGATGATTGGTGGTGAAAGTCTGCTAATTTGGGTTGCAATGGTGATGATTTAGGTTCGATTTTGCAGAGAGCATATAGGTTAATTGGTTTTGCAATTGGTGGTGGTTTTGTGATAGGGATGAGTGGTAACTGTGGAGGTTTTTGGTGGAGGAGCAGTGATGGTTTTGGTTGAACGTGGTGGTGATTATAGGTTTGCAGAGATGGGTAGTGGCCGCCGTCCTTGGAAATCACCTCCTCCTCCCTCAATCCTGTCGTAGTCGGTGGAAGGGCATTATTGTCCAAAAAAAGTCAATTTGTCTGTCACGTGACAATCACGCGATAGCCGGATGGAGTGATCTGCAACAAATTTGTATAGTTTAGGGGGTTTTATGCAATTTTGATAGTTTAGACAGTTAGTTACATATTTTCTAATAATTCAGGGAATTTTTTACACTTTTTCCTATAAAAAAAAAAAAAAAAAAAATCCATATATATTAATAAGTAGTCAAGAATTAGTCACAACTGATTAACTGAATATTTTTTTTTTTCAAAGAAGAAGATGATGAGATTCCTTATTCCTCACTTATATATATATATATATATATATATATATAATTGTATTATATATGTCCGTCAAACTCTCTATTACATTACATTATTATTATTGTTATTTATTTTTTTGTCTTTTCCAAATATCTTCTCAGTTCTTAACTGATCACATATCTCTTACTGATTTTGTAAATCTAAAATATAGTATTTGTTTGGGAACACAGTATTCTTATAAAAATGGCTTTGCCACTTTTGTTACTTCAAAAAAATTATTCCTCCTCTAAAGCACTGCACGTGTTCTACAATTTTTTTATTTTTTGGTACGACTATACAGCAATTCAGCACGTGCCACCAAAGATTCTGATGTGGGGCCTAATATCTTAATCAAGATTTGCATAACAATCTCTACACAGTACACATGTTACGAAATTTTAATTTTAAGTTTGTTTGCTACTCCATCATTGCTGTGTGATATACGCATATCAAACAGGCATGAAAGAAAATAAAAATCTAATACACTGATCCTTTTATCTTCTAAAAAATAAAAAAATAAAAAATAAAAAAGAGGTTGTTTTTAATAAGCATTCTCACACTCAACAATTATTTCAAAAATATTCAAGATAATTGTGCTAATAAAAAATGTAAAATGAAATATAAGAGTAATTTTGCAGGTTACAATATCACATTGTTTGTATGTAGAATAATCTAACCCAACACAAAAATTATTATATTTTTGAAGAATAAAATTTCCAATTTACATAAAATTTAGTAGCAATAACTTCCCTTCTCTTGGTATTTGTTAGAAGACACTTAGGGCGAAAATATAATGAAAGTTGTAAGAAGTAGTAAAGGATTCTCTAGATTAACTACTCTACCTATATTATCGTAAATTGAATTAGTGAGAGTTTAACAAGAATACGATTTAGGCAAGGCAGGCATTAGCAAAAAGTGATGATCCCTTGAATTATCTTCGATTTCGCTCCATCCAAACACAACATAAGCTTTTCTGTCATTTCCTTTCTTTTGTTTTCCTTCCAAATCTCCCCAATCAGTCAAGGATTATAGCTATATTTTATTTTGTTTACCTTATAACTAGACCTGTCAATGGATCGGATTCTGGTCCGAATTCGATCCGATTAGTCAGATATGGATTGAACAAAAAATCCGATAACCCGTTTATGATCCGAATCCGATAATCCGTTTGCTTAACAAATCGGATATGGATTTTACTGATCCGATCCGAATTAAAATTATATATACATATAAGAGTCCAGCACTCCAGCCCCAAACCTATCTCCAAGCCCATATATATATATATATATCTATATGAGTCCAGCCCCAAATCCATCTTCAAGCCCACTTCTTGTTCCCAAGCCCATTAAGCCTCCTTTAACTTATCTAAACCCTAACTCACAAGTTCACAACATTATCTCGTCTGTTCTCTCACTCACACTACCGTTGCCGCAAAACAACCTTTTTTCCAAACACTACCACAGTCCCACGTAGCAAAAATCAGAAAAAGGAAGCCATCAATCGGCGATCGCTACAAAATATTACTCCTTTCAGGTTAGTGTTCTTCCTTTCTCTCTCATCCGATCTCACTTTTAATCTGAATTTTTGCTTTGATTTCTTCAAGCTCTTGGTCAAGCTTGTTTCTTTTGTGACCTTTTCCCTCAATCTGTGTTAGTTGGGAACGGAGGCCCGTAATATTCAAGTTGTGCACTCAGATCTCACCGCCCCTAAACTAGGCC